GCCCGAAGACGGCACAAGAGGCCTCCCAGACGCCCAAGATGGTCTCCAAGACGGCCCTGAAGCGCCCCCAAAGGGCCCCAAGACGGCCCAGAGAAGGCCCCAAAACGACTTCCGACGGCGTCAGACAGGCCAGGAGCCCACCAAGATGGCCGAAGTTGGCTCGAACCTGGCCCAAGACGGCCCAAGAGGCCTCCAAGAGGGCCTCCAGGAAGGCCCGAAAAGGCCACAAACACTGATTTTCCAGCGGTTTGTGAATGAGTTTGGCATTTGCTCTCGTCGGCCTTCCGACGGCCCGAGACGGCCCAAGAGTCCCCAAAGATAGCCCAAAGATCGCCCAAGAGGCCTCCGAGATGGCCCCATGACGGCCCAAGAGGCCCCCAAGACGGCCCAAGAGGCCCCCAGGACGGCCCAGGAGGCCTTTAAGACGCCAAAGATGGCCTCCAAGACGGCCCTGAAGCATTCCAAGAGGGCCCCAAATCGGCCCAGAGAGGCCCCCAAAACGGCTTCCGTCGGCGTCAGACGGGCCAGGAGCCCACCAAGACGGCCGAAGATGGCCCTAAGATGACCCAAGACGGCCCAAGAGACCTCCAAGACGGTCTCCAGGAAGGCCCGCAAAGGCCAAAATCATTGATTTCCTATGAGTTTTTGAAGGATTGTGGCATTTGGTTTTTTTCTGCCTTCCGACGGCCCGAGACGGCCCAAGTGCCCCCAAAGTTCGCCCAAGAGGCCCAAGCAAGCCCTAAGAGGCCCCCAAGACGGCCCAAGAGGCCTCCAAGACGCCCAAGACTCCTCCTCCTCATCTCCTCCTCCTTATGTTCCTCCTCCTTCTCCTCCTCCTCCTCCTCCTCCTCCTCCTCCTCCTCCTCCTGATCTTCCCCGCCATCTTCCCAGAAGTGTTCCCCGAAGGGTTTCCACAACGGTTGGGGGAACTCATGGTCCGACAGCTTGGCAGAGCTCTTGCCACAACGCTCGGACACATGAGCGCTTTCAAACCTCTTGCTCCCCCACGCGTTCCCCGAAGGCTCTCCAAACCGACTCGGGGAACAACTGGCCCGCTAGCTTGGCCAGGCTCTAGCCCAGCTGTCAGCCACATAGGCGCTTCCACAAGGGCAGGGGGCGGCGGTGATTCGCCGTAGGCGTCTTCGATCCGCCGCCCCGTGGTCTTGCCACAGGAGTGCCCAGCGTCCTAAATCCTACTGGTTGTTGTGGTGGTTCCTTTTCCAAAAGAACTCTCCCATGGTGCTCCAGCACAGTGTGCCGACCACCCGGGAAGGCGCGCAATCGCGCACAATGTCCCTAAAAGATCGTCCAAGACGACCCAAGATGGCCTCCAAGACGGCCAGGATGGCCCCGGATAGCCTCCAAGATGCCTCCAAGACGGCCAAGACGGCCTCCAAGACAGCTAAGATGGCCCCAAGATGCATCCAAGACGGCCCAAAATGCACCCAAGACGGTCTAAGATAGCCTCAGGATGTCCAAGACAGCCCAAGAGGCCCCCAAGAGGCCGCCAAAGATGGCCCCAGAGGCATCCAAGGTCCTCCAGGAAGACTCGAAGAGGCCGAAATGATTGATTTCTCTTTGGTTTTTGACGGAGTTGGGCATTTGCTTCTTGTCGGCTTTCGGGCGGCCCAAGACGGCCCAAGAGGCCCTCAAGGACGCTCGAAGACGGTCCAAGCGGCCTCCAAGATGGCCCCATGACGGCCCAAGAGGCCCCCAAGACGGCCCCAAAAGGGCCTCAAGACGGCCCAAGAGGCCTCTAAGACGCCCGAGATGGTCACCAAGATGGCCCTGAAGCGCCCGAAGAGGGCCCCAAGACGGCCCAGAGAGACCCCCAAGACGGCTTCCGACGGCGTCAGACGGACCAGGAGCCCACCAAGACGGCCCAAGATGGCTCTAAGATGGCCTAAGACGGCCCGAGAGGCCGCCAAGAGGTCTCAAAGACAGCCCAAGAGGCCGCCAAGAGGGCATCCTGGAAGGCCCGAAGAGGCCAGAATGATTGATTGTCCGCAGGTGTTTGAAGGATTTGGGCATTTGCTTCTTGTCGGCCTTCCGACGGCCCGAGACTGCCCAAACGCCCCGAAAGATCGCCCAAGAGGCCTCCAGACGGCCCAAGAGGCCTCCAAGACGCCCAAGATGGCCTCCGAGACGGCCCTAAAGCACCTCAGGAGGGTTTCAAATCGGCCCAGAGAGGCGCCCAAGACGGCTTCCGACGGCATCAGACGGGCTAGGCTGAGAGGGCCAAAGAGGCCCCCGAAAAGCCCCCAAAGGCCCCCGAGAGGCCCAAGGACGCCCCCAAGATGCCTCCACTCCAAGAGGATCCCAGGAAGCTCCCAGGAGGCCCCAAGAGTGCCTCCAGAGGCTCCCAACATGCTCCCTGCTCCTCCTCCTCCTCCTCCTCCTCCTCCTCCTCCTTCTCCTGATCTTCCCCGCCATCCTCCCCCAAGTGTTCCCCGAAGGGTTTCCACAACGGTTGGGGGAACACATTGTCCGATAAGTTAGCAGAGCTCTTGCCACAACGCTCGGCCACATGAGCGATTTCTTAAGGCAGGGAGCGGCGTTGATTCGCCGTAGGTGTCTTCGATAACGCCAACGTCTCAATATGCACTGATGATTCCTACCCGCCCTCGCATAACATTCCCAGATGCGCCAAGACAGCGCCGAGACGCACCGACGCGACTCTGATGCATCTCATGTATAGAGAGGGGCTGACGACAGGAGGCGAAGCCCTTACGGAACGGCATCATCATTATCAGCAGCCGCATCATCATCATCATCATCATCATCATCATCATCATCATCAGCAGCAGCAGCAGCATCATCAGCATCATCAGCAGCAACATCAGCATCATCATCAGCAGCAGCATCATCAGCAGCAGCGGCAGCAACATCATCATCATCGTCATCATCAGCTTCATCATCGTCATCACCACCGTCACTATCGTCATCCTCATCCTCATGATCCTCATGATCTTAATGATCCTCATGATCCTCATGATCCTCATGATCCCAATGATCCTCATGATTATCATTATCCTCACCCTCATCCTCATCATCATCATCAGCATCAGCAGCAACGTCATCATCATCCTTATCCTTAGCATTGTAAATGTCTTTGTCGTCCCCACATTCCTTCTCCATCCTCCTCCCAAATCCAACCTCTTTTATCCTCCTCCATCCTCCCCTTCTCTCCACGTTCTCCTTCGCATCCGCATCAAACTCCTCCAACTCCTCCTCCATCGACAGCGGGCTCAGCAGTTCCACTCCTGGCTATGCTCAGGCTGATTTCGAGCTTGGGCTTGCCGGCTAACTCACCTGTCTGTTCCACTGGATGTTCCTAAGAAGTACACTTCCAAGATGAGGACAACTCGCCTGGCGATCCTTTATTGTTGAGCCCATGGGTATACGCGAAGCGTCAAAGAACTAGGGAATCAAGCTGTGGCCACGAGGGAGCCCCAGATACAAAACAAAACTGATTCATATGGTCTCGACAACGAAGACGACGACGCCAACAATGGCGAGGACAAGGACGAGGCCGACGAAGACGAGGACGACGACGACAACGACGACGACGACAACGACGATGGCGACGACAACGACCACGACGACGATGACGACGACGACGACGACAGCGACGGCAACGGCGACGGTGACGGCGACGGCGACGGCGACGGCGACGACGACTCATGTCTTCGTAAGTTTGAACGTTCGGAAAATTTGTTGAAACCTCCAGAGACCTCCAGGGACCCTCCTGAGCCCTCCAGGAGCTCCCAGACGATGACGATTCCTGAGCTGTCCTGGGGTGCGTTCCGACGAGGGAGATACATTCCTTTCGGGGAAACGTAAGAGTTGGATTCGGGGGACTCGGGTTGGCCTGACGGGGGCTTCAGAAAAATGACGAGACCCAATCTGAAATTTGACCCAATCTGAAATTTGACTCGACTGTCAAAACCCAGGACGGGCACGTCGAAAAGCTGAGGCTAACCCAAGTTCCAGCGAACTCAAGTCTTGCGCTTCCCCGACCAAGCCTCACCACCCTTCGACTAGCAGATCGACACCAGAACTGCGTTGTCCCAGTTCTGACACTTGCCGTCGCCTCTGCGAAAATGCGCAGACTGCTCCCTGGGTCTACGGAACAGATAGGGAGGCACCAACTATACACCAACACCGATCCTGGCCAGGATCAACCTGGGCCCAGGATCGGTGTATACGCCCTCCTGCCATGGGCAGAATGCATATACACCGATCCTGGGCCTAGGATCGGCCTGGGCTGGATCGGTGTAGGTGTATAGTTGGTGCCCTCCGAACAGATGAGCCCTGCAGCCGGTCTCCCACACGAGCCCCAGGGGAGAACCCACCGCGCCGGCGGCCTCTCCGCGCCGAGCAGCCGCGGGGCGCCCCCTAGCAGGGTATCAAAAGGACCACGGCTCGGCCGGAGCCGCGGCTGGCCAGGGTGCCCATCGGAAGCTTCGGAGGGAGCCCAGCCGCGACGCCGAGGGAGAGCCTGCCTGTCGAGACCCCCCCCTTACCAAGGAAAACAAAAAAATAAAAAAATAGAAAACAAAAAAATAATAATAATAATAAAAAAAAAAAAAAAAAAAAAAAAAAAAAAAAAAAAAAAAAAAAAAAAAAAAAAAAAAAAAAAAAAAAAAAAAAAAAAAAAAAAAAAAAAAAAAAAAAAAAAAAAAAAAAAAAAAAAAAAAAAAAAAAAAAAAAAAAATGAGCCTTCAGGCCTCGGCGGCAGCAGCGACGACGACTACGACTGCAGTCGAGCCGAAACGTGGCCAAGAGAACGTGGGCCAAGAGCACGCGAGCCCCGGCGCCAAAGGACCACTGGCCCCAGTGGAGACCCCAGAAACGAAGAACGGTCCAAGGTGGGGGCCTCAGCCACGAAGAACATCGGGGTACCCCTCCCGATCTGAGGTCGTTCTGAACCCTCGGGCCAGCTGCACGACGACCGCGGCGGCGGCGGCGACGACGATCTGCCACGGAGGCCAGCTGACCCATCTGGCACCAGGCCGCGACGGCTGCGAGCGGCGCCCACAGGAGGCAGCCGAAGACCGACCACCAGCGCGTCTCCTCGCCTGCGGGCCAGGCCACGCTGGGCAGCTCGCGCCATCGCCGCCGCCGCCGCCACTGGCCTCGTCCTCCTCCTCCTCCTCGCTCATCGCTCCTTCCCTCGTCCATCCCATTCCTGCTCCCTCCTGTTTCTCCAGTTTCTCCATTCAAGGCAAGATCCCCAACTCGCGAGACGAGCGAACATCAGGCCCAAAGAGGAGCGGCCTCCTCCACCTGCAGGGCGCAGCAGGCAAATTACCCTCCCCACTGAGGGAAGCGCGCCCCGAGGGTACATTGACCCTGGGGCAGGCAGATGAGACAAGACAGCTGGGGGGGAACAAGCCTCACTGCCTATCGCCAGTTTTTCAAGCCGCGCCCGCCCCGAAGGGCTCAGATAACGACACCCCCAGTCCCGCCCCAAGCCAGCCGAGGGGCGCCACTCCCCCAGCCGACTCCCACCCCCACGCACGCACCAGGCGTGGCACCCGGGCCGTGGGAAGGATGGGTGGGGATCCCCCAATGAGCCGCCCGCAGGCGACCCGCGTCCACGCCCAAGCCCTGGCGGGGTACCAGGTGGGCCACTGGACGCTGGACGCTGGACGCTGGGTGTCCTCGAAAGAGCTCCACGGGGGAGCTGCTGCTGAGGTGTGCAGGGCGAAAGAAGAGCCTGCAGACCAACCCGAGGCCCGCAAAAGGAGGAGAGCAGAGACAAAAGCCCTCCTCCCACCCTCCATCTCCACCTCCACCATCGACATCTCCTCCTCCTCCTCCTCCTCCTCCTCCTCCTCCTCCTCCTCCTCCTTTCTTGGGCAAGCTGCGAGGTGCCAACATGTAGCGTACACCTCCTCCTCCTCCTCCCCCTCCGCTCCGCATTCTTCCCTCTGTGGGCCACGCCAGGCCAGGCGGCTCTCGCTGTCTTCCCACTCCCTCCCTGGGCTTCCCCTGCCCCCACGCCCCAGGCCTCCCCAACCCCCAGGCGCACCCGTGGCGGAACGGTCAACTGCCAGTCGACTGCTCATGTGCTTGTTACACGGCTTCGCAACAACAAAGCATCCTACTCATCCTCCTCCAAGCAGGCGGGAGAAGAGATGAGGAGAGTAAAGAGGAGATCAGGTGAGACGCTATCATAAGAGAGGATGATGAGATGGGATAAGGTGATATGAGATGATATGAAATGACGGGAAATGAACTGCTATGCAACAATAAGAAGAATATGAAATGGTGAGATACGAGATGAGATGTGGCGAGATGAGAAACGAGACGAGACGAGACGAGACGGGGCGAGACAAGACGGAACGGGACGAGACGAGACGAGACGGGACGGGACGGGACGAGATTGTATGGTATGTGTGAGAGGAGGGGAAAAGAGAGGACAAGTGAAGGTAGGATGAGAGAATATACAAGATACTTGACGATAAGAGAAGAAAGAGAAGAGAAGGGAAGGGAAGGGAAGAGAAGAGAAGAGAAGAGAAGAGAAGAGAAGAGAAGAGATGAGCTGAGGAAGGGCAAGGAGAGAAGAGAAGCGAAAATCCAGCGACCACCGCTTGCCAGGGGTGCAAAGGCATGTGAGATGATTGGCTGACCCCATCCCTCTGTCCCCCTCCCCTGGAGCTCCAAATCGCGTTAGAGGGGGAGGGAGGGCCCGGGGAGGGCCCGGGGGGAGCCTCAGGGGGGGCACATGGGGGGAGGCACTCCCAGGACTTCTGGAGCCCCCATGTCTACACTCCAGAACTCCAAGGTACCCAAGATTCCATCGAAGCTTGCTCAAGCTGGGCCCCAACACGCCGAAGGGGCATCGAAAACGACAGAAACAGCTTCAAGGCGGCCCAAGAAGCCTCCAAGACGCACCCAAAAACCTGCCAAAGGAACACCAAGACGCAGAGCTCCTCCGAGTCCCGAAGGACAACGTATACGTTCAGCAGTTGCACCTTTTTCTGTCAGAAGCGTCCACAACAGGCCAGGTGGCCCCCCAAGCTATGGCTCCCAACTTCGCGCTTCGCGCTGCGCGAAGCGCGAAGCGCGAATAACTTCGCGCTCTCGCGCCGCCCTCCCAAAGGGAGAATAGGAGGACGAGGAGGAGGGGGAGAAGGAACGAGGACCGCGAAGCGCGAAGCGCGAATAACTTCGCGCCCTCGAGGGAGCCCTTACGCCAAGATCGCGCCACGCCGGCCCAGGAGACCCCCAAGAGGACCCCAGGACGGCCCAGAAGCGCCCAAGGGCGGCCCCCAGAGGCGCCCCTGGCGACACAAGAAGGCCCCAAGAGAGCCCCGAGGGCCCCCTCGAGGGCCCCAAGGCAGCCCAGGCCCCCCGAGACGGCCGAAGAGAGCCCCAGGACGACCCAAGAGGGTCCCAAGACGACCCCCCCAAAAAACACAAGGCCCGCCTTAGTAAACGCCCAGAGCCGTTTAGTAAACGCCAAGTGTCCAGTCTGGGTGGCTTTTCCTCCCTTGATTCCAGGCCTCGGGACCGTTAAAAAACGACGCAGGATGAAAAGCCGGTCATGGGGAATGGGTCGAGATCTTTGGGGGTCGACGTAATGAAAAAATCATGACATCGGGGGTCTGGGGGCAACGTCAGGGGAGGGAAACATCGAGCCTGAGTCGGCGATACGTCGCCGATGCATCGGCGATAGGCCTCCGACAGCAAATCCACACGGTCCTGGGCGGCGTGGGCAATCATTGGGCAATTGATTTGGTGTCGCTGCTTGCCCCCTTAAGCCTACACGCCCCTAACGTTGCCTCTGATCCCCCTCCTCCCAAGCCGAGATGCTCGAGCCATAGATCCGGTCTGCGGCGGACGTTCGGGACGACTCCGGCACCCCAAGACGCCCTCGACGAGGTGCAACATGATGGAAATCACCCCTAGCTTCGGAAACTTCCGAGAATGACCGAAAACTGCCGCGAACTCCACACCTGAGCCTATCCCCCCCTCAGTTTGCCATGGAGCAGTCACCCCATCCAAGAGGGGCTCGGGGGAGGACGAGGCGTGGCAGCAGAGGTCGGTAGCGGCAGCGGGAGCTTCGGGCGGCGGGTCTGGCAGCGGAAGCTTCGGGGCACGGCTGCCTGAGTTCCCCACCGCGAAGCCAGTTGCGGACGCCAGCATGGTGACGATAATGCAGGAGACAAGGCCTCATGCTGTCTCGGCCAGGCCAAGCGATTGGCTAGCACCCTGAGGCCAATTCGTTGAGAGAACGCTTGGCAAAACACTCTATTGGGCAGCGATCTCCGATGCAGATGGGCTTGCAGGGGAGGGGTATTCACATAGAGCTCTAAACTCATCAGCCTCAAAGCTCAGCCCTGACACCAGGATCCCCGCCGCCGAAAACTGTTCTGCTCGGAAGCAGGAACGAGCAATCAATCAACACCTTGGAAACCACTGGCCATCGGCTCATGCCAGCCCGCCCGAGCTGCCAAGAAAGTATAACGGATGTTTGAGGCGGCTTCTGACCGCTCAGCCCACCCCAAAGCGACGGGGACCGACAGGGTCCCTGCCACTGCGTACCCTCCCCGCTGGGTTCGATTCTCTCGCGCGCTCCTTCTCGTGAGCGCGCCAACCCCGGTCGTTGGCGGCGCGCCAAGTGAGGATGGGCGAGAGGGGGCAGCCTGCCAAGAAGGCCAGGGGCTTCTTAGAAGCCCTCCTGCCTTCGAAGCAGCCTCCTGAGAATCCTCCGGGCCCTGTCGCGAAGCCTCCTGCCCTCTTAGAATGCCCGCCTCCTCGCCCAACCCACCTTGGCGCGCCCCCAAAGACGGGCGATGGGGACAACCGTGCCCTGGATTGGAAACGCGCGTCGGCAAAATTGGCGGCAGGCAAGATGGATCAGGCGCACTATGAACGGGGCAAGCGACGGCAAGCGGCCGACGCGAATCGGCGCCACCGTGGACCACTGCCGCCTGGCTGTCGCCATGACAAGACAAGAGACAGCACGACAGGGACGGACAGAAGCACGGGTAGAGACAGACTCTGAGGCAAGAACGTGGGCGAGGCAAAGGCATATCATATGAGACAGACACATATACGGCCGGACCTAGGACAGAAGAAAATCCTTCAAGAACATGAGACCTTCCGCCGGCCAAACTGAAGGACCACCGAGGGTACCTTCCCCAGGATGCACCAAGAACATCCAGAAAGCACGAAGAACACTAGGGTGCCCTCCCCGAGCCGACCTCGATCTCAGAGATGTATGGAAGAGGGGACACAGCAGGCGGGAGACCGAGGGTCAGAGGCCGAAAGCCAAGCGCCGAAGCGATCTGAGACCTCGGCCCGACCGCATTACAGAGACACGTCGGAGGCAGGAGACAAGAGGCAGGAGGCCGACGGCCGAGGGCCAAACGCCGAAGCGAAGAGTAACTGAAAAGCTTCTGTGTGGTCGCGGAGACGGCGAGCGCGCGGGCCGGTCGAGCAGCCCGGCGGCGCTGGACAGCGAACTGAACCGAGCAAGGCAAGAGGCCAGGAGAAGAGATGCAGGGCGGCCGCGGAGATGAGGAGCGAGCGGGGGGCTACAACTCAGACCGTGCAGGTCTGCGCCAGCGGGCTGCGGCCCTGGCTCGTTCGAGTCGGTGAATGAAGGGTGGACATCAAGTCGTCCCGGAAGAGGCCCAGAAAGCCGGCGGGCATGTCGAGGGGATCGAGCATGCCAGCGCAGGGCCCACAGGCGTATTCGCACCGCCCAGAGGCCGAAGTGCGCGACCACAGTGAGGCGCACCCGAGCCGCTGGGGCCTTCGGTGGAGCTCCCTCGGGGGCCGTGCCGCAGGAGGGACACCCCCTCTCGGATGCAGCGGCGCCCTCAGAGCTCGCCCATGGAGCCCTTCGCGGCGGAGGACTTGATTCCAGGGACCGTTGCGCAACCATGAGCATCGCTTGACCGACCCCTATCCCCATGGGCGTGGCCTGGGCCCCATTGGCCGACTCACCCCATAGATGGGTGGGGGTCGGAGGGGCCGCGTCCAAGAGGGGGGGGCGCAAATCATGGCCGGCGGCATGAGCGCGGCTCAGGGGGGGGGGCGGGGCACGTAGTGAAATAACAAGAGGCGCCATGAAATCTCGGGAAATATCATGGCCCGCACCATGATATCCCCCCCACTAGTTACCACCAAACCCTTGGCCGCCCCGACCTGAGTCGTGTTTGAGGGTCCCGAGGCCGGGTAAGTCGGGGTCCGCAGGGAGGCCGACAACAGCAAAACACCTCCCGCCGTGTTTTTGTCATAACTGTCTTGTAGGGCGACGACATCTATACACAGCCGCTGCTCCCTGGCCAGGCCCATCCTGAAGCCAGCAGCGGTGTATACGCCACCCGCTCCTAGCTTGGCCAGGAGGGCGTCTGTACTCTTCCGACGCGGCGCAGGACACAAGACACCAGACTCTTCCGACTCGGCGCGATGCACAGGACACATGAGTGCCCTTGATTTGGCAGGGTCGACCTACGAATCTGGGCCTACTGTACGCGAGATGCCACAGCGACCTTACGCGGCGGCTTGCGCGGGCCGCCAGCGCGGCACGCCACATTGGAGACGAGGGCGCTTGCGCGCGACCTCACGCGGGCAGCTCACGCGCCAACGTCGGCGCAGTCGACCCTGTTCTCTTTTGTCGCTCACCTGGCGCGAGCCTCGGGGGGCACGAAAGGGCAGGGCAGAGAATCAGCTCATGGTAACTGGCTTTCCTGGCGCCTCCTGGCGCCGGGAGGCGCCCATGTATCGAGGAGTGGGCCCAGCGGCGGGTCCAGAACCAGCTGCATGCAGCCAACTTCGCACCCCGTCCTTTTCCCCATCCTACCCTTTTGTCGGGCCTGGGACCCGAGAGGGGGGGGGGCAGGAAGGTTCTAAGGAAAATCCTGGAGGCCTCGAGGGGCAGCTGGAGGCCCCATTTACGTCGGACTTACGTCGGGCTCGTCGGATTTAACGGCGGGTTTGCGGAGCCTCGCCGCGCGAACGTCGCACCAGGTCTGACGGGGCGGACCTGTGGACTGAATGACGCAACCACTGCGCGCCACGCGAGGCCTCCGGGATTCTCCTCGCAGGGAAGGGGGGGGAAAGGAAAGAGAAGCGAGGGGCAATCCCAAACCCGACCCTCCGAGACTGCACAGGAGGTCTGTGGACGATCTCCGCACCTTCTCGGTCCACGCGTGTCCTCGTCGCCGCCCGCCCACTCCGATAGACAAGCGCGTTTCACGACTCGCAAAGTAGATACTCGCAAATGGCCTGGATCCGACGCATCAAGGCAAACAGGTTTCAGTGCATCGAGGCAAACAGGCTCCAGTGGACGTTTGCGAGTAAGGACTTGGTGAGCAGCGGAACGCGCTCGGTGATCCCACTCTGCCCACCGTGATCGAGGATCGGGGATCCGAAGGGGGCCGTCGCCGCTGGGCATCGCATCGGCCGTGGGCGGCGGCTGGGCAGCCTCTTGCCGTGGCTGCAAGCCTGCCGAGGGCCGACGCGCCGCGGGCAGGCCGGGCGGCCAGCGCCAGCAGGCCGTCGCGTCGCGTGCCCAGGTCGGGGTGCAGTGGGGGCTCGACCACAAGAAGCCTTCCATAAGAAGCTCAGCCCTCAGACCCCAGGAGGTTCACTGATTTCTGGTGCGGGAGCGTCACGCTTCCCACAGCAAAACCATCGAACCCCAAAAAACCCAGGGCACCCTGGAAGCAAGCAGGGTATTGCTTGGCATGATGGGCTTCCACTGTAGACCCAGGCGGCCACGTGCAGCACAGCTCGAGGAGCCCAGAGCGGGTTGGGCCCCAGGTGCAACAAAGGCGTGAGGAGCCAAGAGCCGGACAGGCTGCGGGGGCGGCTGATGTTGAAACCCAAGCGCGCAAGCCCGCTGCCATCGCCCCGCATCTGGCGATCGGTGGACCCCACTGGGCCCGCACCAACGAACACTACGATGAAGGGTCACTCTGGCGCACAGCCAACAATCGCCCTCCCGAAACCCATACTTGGGAAGCCAGAGGACGCTGCTACCGCCTTTCCCCTGACCTCTCCTGGGGTGCGTTCTGCACAGAGCTTCCAGGCCGACCCAACGGTGGCGACGAGGGGCTCCCAGGAGGCCCAGAAACACGTGGGCGAGGCAAGGACAGCGGCATCAGTGCCTTCCCCTCCTCTGGCATACTTTCCCGTCGGCGGCGAGGCAGAGCTGGCTGCAGCAGCGAAAGAGCCAGACGTTGGCACCAAAAAAGGGCGAATTGGCCAGTGTTCACCCTCTGACCTGCCGCGAGGCCCGGCCCCCCGAAGCCCCGGGGCACCTCGGCGCAGCCTCGAGGCTGCCCCGAGGGGCCGCGCCCTCCCGAGGCCCCGCGGGGGAGCACCAGCAGCGCGCAGGCGCCGTGGCCCGCGAGCGCCGCCGGCCCCGCGGGGTCTATCAGCGCCTCGGCCGCGTCCAGGTACGGCAGCCGGCCAGGGGGCAATAGCGGCAGCCCCTGCATGGGGCGAGAGGACCCCAAGCTCACGGCGTCTCAATTGTTGTTTCGAGCCGGGCGGTTTCGGCTTGTTTTGGGCCCCGGAACCCTCACAGGTCGATCCGGCTCGGAAAGCGACTCAGAAAGACGGGGTCTAGGGCTACGGGCGTGACATTTTACGATGTTATATATATATATATATATATATATATGTGTATATATATATATATATGTTGCTACGTCGGATCTCAGGGGAGGGGGAAACGAGCGAACAAACGGTTACCAGCAGGCGGCGAGCCCAGGGGGGAGGTGAGAGCGGGCAGGCCTTCTCGGCGGGGCTTCTCAGAAGCGCTCTGGCCTTCTGAGAAGCTTTCTGAGCCTTCTCCGAAGACAGGGACGGCTTCTCAGAAGGCTGGAAGGTTCATGACAAGCGCAGCCTCCTTCTACGAATGCCTGCTCCATCTCAACTCCCTCCTGGGCTCGCTACCGAACCAGTGCGGACAAGTGACTGGGACTACTTGAAACCAGGTGAGTGAGGCCGTAGCCTCCAGACACGGTGGTAAATGTTAACACACACACACACACACACATGCAGATGCGAGACACATACAATGTGATGTGAGGCAAACAGGAGGGAGAGGATTGGGAATCCTGGTAACCGATGTCGTCACGTGTTGGTGGTGCCGTATCGGCTGCCCCTGCAGGAATGGGAGGTCTCGTTGCGAGAAAACCGCGAAAAACAATTGTTTTTGCCTGAGGAGAAGCAACACCGATCCTAAAATGCTCCCCTGTGACCTGCATTGGAGCATCTGTTGATGCCGTCGAACTTGTAGCCCCGCGGCTGCCTGGGCAACCCCAGAACCCCACGAATTCATGCCATGAAGAACCAGCCGTGAACCTTGGAGCATGGAAGTAAGCTCCCATCTCCAGCCGACACGTCTGGCAGTTCCAGCTCAGATGATCCCAAAGGGCGTCTGGAAGCAAGCCCTCAGAAACACTTCCTGTGCACGATAGTGGGGCCAGACTCGTCATACTCCCCCTTAGAGATCCACATTTGCTGAAAAGTACTCAACGACGATAAGATTGACCCACCGATCCACACGGAATACTTGCGCTCAGGTGGAGCTACAACCTTGATCTTCATCGTTGAAGGTGCTAGAGCCGTTAACTCCTTTGTCATCCGTTCGCCGATGCCTGGGAACATAGTCGTGCCACCAGAGAGGACCACGTTGGCGTACAGATCCTTGCGGATGTCGACGTCGCACTTCATAATCGACTGGAAGGTGGTGTCGTGAATTCCGCTGGCCTCCTTGCCAACGAAACTTGGCTGGAATAGAACCTCGGGGCAACGGAAACGCTCACTACCCACAGTGATGATATTCCCATCAGGAAGCTCGTACGTCTTCTCCTTGTCTGAACTCTCCGTGGCGGCTTTCATTTCTGTGTCGAAATCGAGCGCGATGTAGCAGAGCTTCTCTTTGACGTCACGCACGATCTCGCGCTCAGCCGTGGTAGTAAAGGAATAACCGCGCTCAGTGAGGATTTTCATCAAATACTCCGTGAGATCCCGACCTGCCAGATCCAGGCGCAAGATCGCGTGTGGCAGCGCGTAGCCCTCGTAGATGGGCACGGTGTGCGACACGCCGTCGCCTGAATCCATGACAATGCCGGTGGTGCGGCCAGAGGCGTACAACGATAACACGGCCTGAATGGCAACGTACATCGCCGGCACGTTGAAAGTCTCGAACATGATCTGGGTCATGCGTTCACGGTTCGCCTTGGGGTTCAAGGGAGCCTCGGTGAGGAGCACGGGGTGTTCCTCTGGGGCCACGCGGAGCTCGTTGTAGAAAGTGTGATGCCAGATCTTTTCCATGTCGTCCCAATTTGTTACGATGCCATGCTCGATAGGATACTTCAGGGTGAGAACGCCACGCTTGCTCTGCGCCTCGTCGCCAACGTAGCTGTCCTTCTGATCCATGCCGACCATGATGCCCGGCATCTTGGGGCGCCCGACGATCGAAGGAAACACGGCACGTGGCGCATCGTCGCCCGCAAAGCCTGCCTTGCACATGCCACTGCCGTTGTCCACAACCAGAGCTGCAACCTCCTCTTCGCCCATGGCTGCGAGGAAGCAGAAAGAGAGCTGGGCAGGCAGGACGAGTTGATCCAGGAAAAGGGCTCCACCGGAAGTACTTGAGCCAAAACGGCTACGGAAAAAAAGATCGCGCCAGCAGGTCTTTGCTCATCTTCGGCCTCTGGGAAGACCTCGGCGGGCCCGGGGACAGTCAAGAAACGGCTCGGGATGGAAAGCGAGTCCCAGGGAAGGGGCCCCGCCGTGGAAAAATCACGGCGGCGGATGCCTGGGGAGGGGGGGGGATCGACGGGAGGGGGGCGGGATCGAGGCCTCTGGAGCCCTGTGGGCCTTCTCGGGCCTCGGCCGCGCCCAGGTCTCCAGGTCTACAGCCAGCCGCGAGGCAGCCTCGGCGGCCCCTGCGCGAAGAGAGGGGGCGGAGGGCCCGGGTGCGAGGATGGAGGATGGTGGAGCTCTGGGGCTCTCGGAGGCCTCCTCGGGAGGCCTCCGGGAGGCTCGTGGGGACCCTGGGAGGCCTCCAGGGCCTTCGAGGGGCCTCCGGAGGATACGTGCCTGCCTCGAGGCTTCTCTGGATCGAGGATCGGGGGTCCAGGGCGGCATCGGCAGCCCTTGCGCGGAAGTGCACAGAACGCACAAAAGCATTCGCGGCATCAGAGGGCGAGGCCAAGTGGACTCAAGCCGACGGAGTCGAATTCAGAAGTCTTTCGACGCGTTCTGGAGCCACATGCAATGCGGCACGTCTCTTCTGGTGGCAAGACGAGCGGCTCAAGCTGCTCAGGAAGCTTATACAATGGGCTCACCCTACTACTGAAGTGTTTCACCGAGGTGGTAGCATGGCCATGAAGTTCTTGTTTGAGGCACAGTGCTGTTGGCCGCTGGATAGTGGGCTCCCCCTTATTTTGCAAACTCCTCACCTCACATCACTTGCAGCTGCCGTAAGGGGATGAGACTCTCTCCTTTGAGCTGTCCTGGGAGCGAAATGATGCCAGCAGTGGCATTAGTGTGCGCTCATCATGCAGGCCTTGTGCACTCCCCATGGCGCTTTGCCGCTAGATCTTCTGAGAGCCATGGGAGGGGGGCGGAGGGTTAAGTTGGTGGTCCTTGTCGGGTTTCCCCGTGGCTCTTGTGGCCGTGAAGCGGGACTCCTCTGGATCTGAGCATCGTTTAACCGATCCCCATCCCCACCAGCGTGGGCTGGGCCCCATTGGCCGATTTACCCCCCTAGATGGGGATTATAGGCTGCTCTCTTCGGGTTTCGAGGGGCACATCCCCAACTGAGGTGGTGAAATGGTGGGGCCCGAGATGTCGATGGGGATGGGGATAGGGATCGGCTACACGATACTGAGGATCGGCGCCTTCCTTCTAATTGGGCGCGATTGGAAACCGTTTTCACTTCTCGCGACAACGGCCAGTCCCGGCCCTGGCCGCCCCCCGCCCCTCCCCCGGGTCATGTTACAATGTGTGCTGACCTCCGAGTTGGCTCTGCCTACTCCTTGACATTCCCGGGCGGCGCCAGCACGAAACGTGACGTGGCCTTCCCCGCCCTTCTCCTGACCCCCCCCCGCCTCGCTACCACCCAGGAATAAAAAAAAACGCTCTCTTGAGCACGATTGGGTGGCATCGCGGCCGCCGTTCTGTGCTTCGACTTGCTCTCACTTGAATTGCAGAACGTCTTCAACGTGAGGGACCCAGCTTGCGAGCTGACCCTTCATGAGTCGCAACATGCTGCAGAGCCAGGGAAAACCGCACGCGCTCGCAGCGGTTGGTGTGTGTGTGGCGGGCCCTCGCGTGCTCCGTGTGAAGGCCCCCGAACCGTCGACAAGCATGCCTCGGCACGGACTCGATTCGACGGAGTCTTGGTTCGCCAGGGCTCGGTGCGCTGGAGCTCGGTTCGCCAGAGCTTGGTTCGCCAGGGCTCGCCTCGCCGAGGCTCGGTTCGCCCGACTCGACTCGTCCAGCACGGTTCGCCGAGGCTCGGTTCGCCGGGGTTTGGTTCTCCCGTCTCGTTTCGCCGGGGATCATTTCGCCGGGGCTCGTTCCGCCGGAGTCTCGCTTCGCCGAGTCTTGTTTCGCCAGGGCTCGCTTCGCTGGGGCTCGTGTCGCCGATGCTCGTGTCGCCAGGGCTCGTTGCGCCAGAATCTCGCTTCGTCGGGGCTCGTTTCGCCGAGCTTGTTTCGCTGGAGCTCGTTTCGCCGGGGCTTGTTTCGCTGGGATTCGCTCTGCTGGCCGCCTGAAGGATCCAGAGGGAGGAAAGGGGAGCAGGCAGGCGGACCCTGACGGGCGGGTCGGGCCGGGCGGGCGGACCCTGACGGGCGGGGCGGGTCGGGCGGGCGGGACATGCAAGTACGGACGCATCATCGAGTCAGCACGCGGGAACCCTACCGGGCGGGTGGGGTCGGGCGGGCGGACCCTAACGGGCGGGTCGGGCCGGGCGGGCGGACCCTGACGGGCGGGTCGGGCGGGCGGGACATGCAAATACGGACACATCATCGAGTCAGCACGCGCGAACCCTACCGGGCGGGTGGGGTCGGGCGGGCGGACCCTGACGGGCGGGTCGGGTCGGCCAGGCGGACCCTGACGGGCGGGTCTGGTCGGGTAGGCGGGACATTCAAGTACGGACGCATCATCGAGTCAGCACGCGCGAACCCTACCGGGCGGGTGGGGTCGGGCGGGCGGACCCTGACGGGCGGGGCGGGTCTGGGTCGGGTAGGCGGACATTCAAGTACACGCATCATCGAGTCAGCACGCGCGAACCCTATGGGCGGGTGGGGTCGGGCGGGCGGACCCCTTGACGGTCGGGTCGGGTCGGGCGGGACAGTACGGCGCATCATCGAGTTAGCACGCGCGAACCCTACCAGGGTCGGGCGGGCGGACCCCAACGTGCGGGTCGGGCCGGGCGGGCGGACCCTGACGGGCGGGTCGGGTCGGGCGGGCGGGACATGCAAATACGGACGCATCATCGAGTCAGCACGCGCGAACCCTATCGGGCGGGTGGGGTCGGGCGGGCGGATCCTAACGGGCGGGTCGGGCCGGCCGGGCGGACCCTGACGGGCGGGTCGGGTCGGGCGGGCGGGACATGCAAATACGGACGCATCATCGAGTCAGCACGCGCGAACCCTATCGGGCGGGTGGGGTCGGGCGGGCGGACCCTAACGGGGGTCGGGTCGGGCCGGGCGGACCCTGACGGGCGGGTCGGGTCGGGTAGGCGGGACATTCAAGTACGGACACATCATCGAGTCAGCACGCGCGAACCCTACCGGGCGGGTGGGGTCGGGCGGGCGGACCCTAACGGGCGGGTCGGGCTGGGCGGGCGGACCCTGACGGGCGGGTCGGGTCGGGCGGGCGGGACATTCAAGTACGGACGCATCATCGAGTCAGCACGCGCGAACCCTACCGGGCGGGTGGGGTCGGGCGGACGGACCCTGACGGGCGGGTCAGATCGGGCGGGCGGACCCTAACGGGAGGGTCGGGTCGGGTGGGCAGAACATCAAAGTAGGACGCATGATCGAGTTAGCACGCGCGAACCCTGACGGGCGGGTCGTCGGGTCGGGCGGGCGGACCCTTACGGGCGTGTCGGGTCGGGTGGGCGGGCCCTAACGGTCGGGTCGTGTCGGGCGGGCGGAGCCAGGCGAATCGAGACTCTGGCGAACTGAGCTGGGCGAATCGAGCCGGGCGATTCGAGCCCCAGGCGAACTGAGCTGGGCGAATCGAGACACTGGTGAATCGAGTCCCAGGCGAATCGAGCCGGGCGAATAGATCCCGAGCGAATCAAGCTGGGCGATTCGAGACTCGGGCGAATCGAGCCGTGAGATTCGAGCTGGGGAAAATCGAGCCGGGCGAATCAAACCGGGCGAATCAAGAGTCGGGCGAATCGAGCCAGGCAATTCGAGCCAGGCGAATCGAGCTGGGCGAATCGAGACTCCGCGAATCGAGCCGGGCGAATCGAGCCCGGCGAATCGAGCCGGGCGCATCGAGCCGGGCGCATCGAGCCTCTGGCGAATCGAGCTCGCGCCCGTGCCTCGGCTTCGGGTAGAAAGGCCTTGCGCTGTTGACACGCAGCCAGTGGCGGCAGCGGCGACGACGAAGACGTCAGTCGTCGACGACGATCGGCGGCGGCGGCCCCGGCCACGGCCACGGCCACGGTCACGGCCACGACGACCGCGAAGCGCAGCTGTCGCGGCGCCGACCGCCGCCCTTCGCGCAGGGAGCCGAGGCGGCCGCGGCGGCCGGGCCTGCCCGTCGTGCAGCGCGGCGCCGCCCCAGCTAAGCAGCCAGCAGACCTATTTGCGAGGACCCTCCTCCCTCCTCCTCCTCCTCCTCCTCCTCCGCCTCCTCCGCGTCCTCCTCCGCCTCCTCCTCCTCCTCCGCGTCCCCCTCTCCTCTCCTCCTCCTCCTCCTCCTCCTCCTCCTTCTCGCCTCCTCTCCTCCTCCTCCGCCCTCCTCCTCCTCCTCCTCCTCCTCCTCTCATCCTCCCTTCCTCCTCCTCCTCCTCTCCTCCTCTCTCCTCCTCCCTCCTCCTGCTCCTCCTGCCTCCTCCTCCGCCGCCTCCTCCGCTCTCTCCTCCTCCTCCTCCTCCTGCTCTCCTCTCCGTCCCTCCTCCGCCTCTCCTCCGCCTCCTCCTCCGCCTCCTCCTCCGCTCCTCCCCTCCTCCTCTCCTGCTCCTCCTCCTCCTCCTCCCTCCTCCTCCTCCTCCTCCTCCTGCTCCTCCTCCTCCTCTCCCCTCCTCCTCCGCCTCCTCCTCCCTCCTCCTCCGCCTCCTCTCCTCCTCCTCCTCCTCGCCTCCTCCTCCTCCTCCCTCCTCCTCCTCCTCATCCAACTCCTCCTCCTCCTCCTCCTCCTCCTCCTCCTCCTCCTCCTCCTCCTCCATCTTCAATGCGCTTGTACCGGTTTTGCCGAGCGATTGTAAGGACTGGGACTTGCTCCTAGAGATCACAATATCCGATATTAAGCGAGCAGTGCTGCAGTTCCCAAGGTCATCGGGATTTGGTCCGTTTAGTTTTGCACCCAGGAGCCTACTGTTTCAGTGACGATGGGCTAAATACAGTAGAGATGCTCTTCACGAAATGCGAAGATCTTCTCATCTGGCCATCGAGTAGGATTTTGACCCGGCGTGTGCGCCTCACCGAACACAGCGGGGGAAGCAGATTGATTGCCCTGCTGAACACCCTCCTCATAATCTGGGGGAGGGTCCGAAGGCT